GGCCGCCTCTCCCGCCCGCCGGGAGAGCGGCGCCTGCCGGCGCGGAGCAAAGCGGGGGGGAGATATTTGCGCTTCCTCTTCTTTTTTCTTCCTTTCAAAAAAAAAATTTAAAATTTAAAAAAAGAAAATAATAATAATAGAAGGGGGGAAAGGATTAAAGCAAAGGAAAATGAATACAGGAATCACTGCGCGAAGTTTAGATTATTCTGTGTTAATAGAGCTTGCTCCGCTCCGGTTTGCACCGACTTCCTTATTGCTGATGTGCTTTACCCCGATTTAACAATCTTCCTAAAGACCGACTTCCTCCGGACGTTTTAATTAGGTAATTCATTAGTGAGTCAATACAGACATTCATATGTTCTTTTAGCTCAAGTGGTTAAGCGCTAATTTCGAAATTATTATAAAGCATTGGAATATGCGAGGCAGAGTAATTTTAATTTATATGCAAATCAACGGGTCCATTTGAAATACTTATTTTTTTAACAATTTATTTATTGTAGCATCAGGACGAACGCCCTGAACGGACAATTTTGAAAACAGGTCTTGTCAAGAAGAAAATATTCGAGCAGCCCAACAAATCAATAATATTTGAGTGTGTTAAACATAGCCAGCTATAGGTATTTACATACTCGTTCGCTGTCAGATAAGCTCAGAGAGGTGGGAGGAGAGGCTGGGGGGGAGACGGGAGGGATTGCCTGCGAACACTGGATCATAATCCGGGAATGAAGAAAGTAAATGGCCGTGAATTGCCCCATCGCACATTTTCGAAGATTACTCTCTTTTCCTCAGGAGTCCGCAGCACTGCGGCCGGTGCAAGACACAGGGATGCCTCAGATACAGCTAGATACTTTTTGCCTTTTCGTTGTTGTTGGCTATTTTTTTTTTTCCTTCCCCTCTCCCTGGGCAAAAACCCTGCCCGGCCGGCAGCGTGGAAGCAGCCGGGTTCCCCTTCGGGTCTCCCGCGCAGAGACCGGAGGAAGCCCCGCGGCTCCCGCCGCCGTCGAGGAGCACCAGGCTGCGCCAGGTGCCTGCAAACGGATAGTCGCGATAGGCATTTATTATAACAGTTTCTCCTCCTGTCGGGGCGAGAAATAACCCCATCTCTCTTTTCCAGCCGTTCAAAAACGGGCGTGCTGCCCGGGGCCCGGCACACGGCGCTTCCAGCCCCGCTATGCACGCACTGGCCGGGCCGCGGGCGCCGGCTTCGAGCCCGTCGCCTCTCCCCGCTTCAGCCGGCCGAGGAAAGGCTCCTTAGGCTCGTCAGGGTTTTTAAAGCTGTTGTCACTACGCTAGCGGGAGGGGGGAGCTAGACTATAAATACAGCCGCGGCGGCCTTTGCTCTCCCTGAAATCTATTATTACATTTATTGCTTTGACAGAAGGGGGGAAAAAAAAAAAAAAAAAAAAAAATGAAATCCTCGTATTAAGTCGGCTCCATAGTTTCCAGACTCCCTGGAACCCCTCTTACACGGCAGCATGTCTAATGTATTCCCTAGTGATTCTGGGCATTAATTAGTTGTTTAATAGGAGTATGACTAAAAATGTAAAAGAAGGATTAGGAGCGTGAAACGTATGTCCAGCTCCTTCCACACACTCGAGGAGGGAATGAAAATCACCCTGTATCTTATGTTTCTCCAGGAGCCATTTGCATTTCCCACCAGCTGCTCACTTCAGCCGCTCCGGCTCCGAGGGGGCCAGAGCCCGCTGCCGCCCTGCGCGGAGAAAGAAAGGCGCGGAGAAAGGCGCGGAGCAGCGGGCGGCCCCGCTCCGCGGCCGCGCTGCCAAGGCGGGCGCCGCAGTCTTCCCTGTCCAAAACAGAGAGAGCCTGGGGGTTGCGGGAAAGATCCGCAACGGCGCGAGCAGTTTGCTTTCACCGGGGAAACACAAGTGCGGGGTGGGAGCTGGAAGTCCCGCTCGCTCCCGCTCCTCCTTCGGGTGCGCGGGGAAGCAGGATTTCACCTGGCAGACGCTCCCAAGGACAGAAATGCCGTTAGCCAAGGACACAGATTTTTTTTTCTCCCTAGAAAAACTTCCAGACGATTTCATTTCTTGCAACCCCCTCCGCTTGCTGTGGCAACCACTGAGGCGTCTCTTTCAAAGGGCTTTTCCGTGCACGCCTGGAAGCGGTACCGCTGAGCACGGCTGGGCTGCCCCCCCACCTGCCAGCAAAACGACCCGCTGAAAACTTGGCCGCTTCCAAGGGTTCGCTTTCCCCCTCCGGCAAAAATTGCCTACCCCCCCTGGCCACGCCTAAAAATAACTAAAATTCACTCCAGGCTGAAATAATTTTAAAATACCCACAAATAGATCAGGTGCAGCCTCCGAGTTAAGAAAGTGCCTGTTTTATTTTCGCGTGGTCCCTCTTTTTAAAAAGCCGCAGAAACACTGCGAGAAAAAGCGATAGTTTTCATTTAGTTTGAATAGATATATCCGGTTTCGTTATTTTCTTAAATACGGAAAACACCAAAGAATCGAAAATAGAATACCCCCTGGCGCCAGCTCGGTGTCGTTTGGGAGAAAGAGGGAGAGAGTTTGCCGTGCTGTTTTCTCGTTATCGTCCGTAAACGAGGCAGAGCGAGTAACAGCAGAGGCAGGGGTTCGGCTCCCCTGGCCCTGCACGAG